CTCTCCGCACAGCCGCTCTTCTGATGGGCCTCGGCGTCCTCCACCGTGCTGACCCCCGTGAGGGTGAGGAGGGTTTTCAGGCCGCAGTTGGAGCCCAGCATGATGTCCGTGTCGAGGCGGTCGCCCACCATCAGGCAGCGGCCGGGGTCCACTCCGAACTGGGAGGCCACGCAGTCGAACATGTACCGGTTGGGTTTGCCCACCGTCTGGGCCTGGCGCTGGGCGGCGGTCTCCACGGCCTGCAGGAGGCAGCCGGTACCTGAGAGGAAGAGGAGTAGTGAGGACACTTTAACTCAATCTAGCAAGTTAGATGAAAAGGGGCCCTACTATGCAGGGATGTTCCCCTATATGGGTTGTGTGCATGTACAAGCCAGTTGAGTAGCACTTGAAATGTTTTTGCTCTATGAAGCCTGATGTACTTATATGATTCTGTTTTCTTCAAGTTTGTATTTTGTTGGTCGAACGCACTTATTGTAAGTCGCTTTGGATAAAAGCGTCAGCTAAATGCAATGTAATGTAATGTCAGAGTTTCTCTCCCACACACTCTAAATTATAATGATCCCTCATAGCATTTTGGATGGGTGGAGCTTAGAAATCCAGACAGGTGAGTTTAGACATGTTTTTCCAGGAAGTAGACCTAATACTTAATATCTGACAGTTAAAGTCTGACTTTGTATAGAGCCTGTTATGCACAATTTAGTGCATGCTTTGTTGTTGTTGTTATAGCCTCAGGTCTGGCCTAAAATGTAAGCTTTATATTTCCCCAACAGTTTAAGTGATGTGTGCAGAAGATCCACTGACTATTGTTAATGTGTGCTGCAGTGATTTAACCTGCTTTAACCCCCTGTAATATGTGTGTGTGTATCCAGTACCTAGTGCTAGTACTTTTTTTCATGACCTGCTGACACACAATTGAGGCCTTATATTTCACCATAAGTTTCTGTGCAGAAGATCCACACGCTGCAGTGATTTAACCTGCTTTACCCCACTGTAATATATATATATATATATATATATATATATATGTGTGTGTGTGTGTGTGTGTGTGCAGTCCCTACCTGGCACGGCCTTGCCTCCCTCCAGGGGCAGCCTGGTGTCCCTGTTGGTCCCCACAAACAGACACCCAGGCTGCTGGATCAGGTACTGCAGGGCTCTGTTCAGCTTCGTGTAGCTGAAGTGCTCATCGAACCCGACCACCACCGCCTTCACCTCGGGGTTCAGGTCCACGTTGGCCCAGTCCATCTGCTTCCCGGATATATGGTCCTCTCCCACCCCGGTCTGCTGGATCCCCACCGCCTGCAGCTCGTCTCTCATCGCGTTACTTCCGATCAGATACACCTTTTTACCCTCCAGTTTGCACTCATTCTTCAGGTACATAGCTGAACAGTACGCCGTCCCGAACACCTCCTCTTCGGTCGCATTAAACCCCATTAAGGTCATTTTCTCCACGTACATCTTCCTGGTCTTGGTGCTGTTGTTGGTGACGAAGAACACCTTCTTGCCGCTTTCCTTAAGCAGGTTTATGACCTGAGAGGCTCCCGGGATGGCCTGGTCCCCCCGCCAGATGACCCCGTCGCAGTCAAACAGGATGCTGTCCACCGAGTCCAGCACCGGCTTCACCAGAGCTCCGGTTAACCGGGTACATTTGGACCCAGACATTAGGGTAAACAAGAGACGTGATTTCAGGTTCAAATTTGAATAACTGTCTGCCCGTTAAATAGCCCTTACGTGTTGTCAGGCTAAACAAATACAATAACTGTTTAACCGTTATATAGCCGTTACAACACTTCGTGTTCCCTACCGCGCAACGTCACGGGTTGTCGCTAATGTCAGCACTACTGTTTGTAGTTACGTCCAGTTTTGTGTTAATGTAGTTTTGTTGTTTAAATAAGTTTGTTGAGATACGTCGCTGACAAAATCCTGACCTTCCACTTCGGTGTAAAAGTGTTGAAGCAATTCTGAGGTTACTTCCGCACCGGCTTAAAGGGAAAGCAACAACACAGTTCACTTCCGGTTAAGCTCATTTACTGTTTACAACCTTTATATATACAGTCTATGTTTACAACATGCATATGTTTTTCTTTAAAATAAACAAGAACAAATCTTTAATATAATAACTGCGTATTCAAAACTACAAAAGTGCTTCAACAAAAAAGCCAAGCACACTGTCCCTTCCTAGCATCAAACTACAGTTCCCATTGGTCTGTAGGCAAAGTGTTTAAATCCCACTTGGATGCAAAATATATAAAGTTCACAATAATACACAACATTAAAAGTCAGATTCGTAATGCCTTTAAAAAATATTGAACAATTACAATGGCAGGACATATGCTCCAGCTTTTGAAGCATTCACACTTTAGTCAAAGGCAGAACAAGAATGAAAAAAGATGTTCTAAATTGGCAGTCAAAATATCTAATGACTTTTGTGTTTGCTGTAAATGTTGCCAGAGCTTATTAATACAATACATTGTGTGGGAGGTAGACACCAGAGCTCGTAAAGAAATTGCTACCGTAAACTTTATTCTTTCAGTCAGCAGTAGTTCTCAGGCACAGTGACCCCAGGGGGTGTAAAAAAATGCAGCATAACAACACAGACTAGTAATTTATTTTAGTTGTCTTTTTTGTGAACAGGACGTGGAGGGAAGAAGATCTCTCCCAGGTTTCGGAGTATTCCTCTGCTGTAGTAGTTTCTTTTAGAGTGGTCTGGTGTCGGGCTGCAGAGATGGTCAGCGGTTGCAGTCGGGTGGCAGTGCTGACACACGTAACCTCGACTTTTGTACCACTCGTTGGAGGTCTGGTTCACGAGAGCCAGGTAGGAATGGAAAAGAGCATAACCCGCGAGGAGGAAGAAGACAAAGACCAGAAATCCCAACATGAAGACGATTCGGGGGAAGGTCAGGAACAGATGCTGCAGAAAGAGAGATGTGTATTTTGTAAAATGTGACTTTTTTTGATTATAATTTCTTTTTAAAAAAACTGTAATACTTGTTTATGTATGCTTTAGGTAACATTACGCTGTCTTTGGCTCTTTTCTGCTGTAACAATGTACATTTCGCCTCTGTGGGACTAATAAAGGTATTCGGATTCTGACAGGTGTGGGGGAAACTTCTGAAGCAATGGAACAGCAGGACTCAGAGAGACACGAGGAGAGCTGGAGCTTTGATGGCAAACACTGACGGTTTATTTGGAGCTTCGGCCGGAGAATTCACAAGACATGTCACGGGCCACGAGTTGACCACACGGTTGAGATGCCACAATCAATTCTGAAGAGCCCTCCTGTAGCTCCAGGTTTTAACTAGTTCAGAGCGTAATAATCAACGTTCTTCAATAGATAGACTAAACAGCTGAGGACACTGAATCACAGTTGTTGTCTCTAATGGCTCGGGGTCATCTACACCCCGGGAAGGATGTGTTCCAGGTGTCCCACAACAATAACTATCTCTGACCGAGAGTTGCCCGGTCACAAACTGGCAACATCAACAACTTGCTAGGGCAGCCCCTCCTTATGGGAGATAGCGGCTGCTCGAGGTTGGTCAGCTGTGTCAGAGGGCGAAAGGTAAACATGTAGGGCGAAATTATTTCCTGACAAAAGGTATTACGTGTCTTGAGGTTAAAGGAAGGTAGCCGCGACATGCACTATGTCAGCAGTATGGAGTCTCACCTGCACAACAAACAGAGGCCCTGCTGACTGCTGCTGGCCTTCCTCGTCTATATAACTGGCCCTCAGGAGCCCTGACCTCAGGACGGCGTGAAGCAGCATGTCTCCTGTTAGAACGGCCACATCGCCCGCCGCGGCGCACACGCTGAAGAGGTAAAGCAGGAAGTAGCGTGTGTTCTGAGCACCGATGCAGTTGTTCACCCAGACGCAGTGGTGGTCAAAGCGTTGAACACACCTGTTGCAGACCCCTGAAACACAGACAGTGAGTATGATTCTGTATTCTAAGCTTTGCAAATATAATGCATTACAATGTTAACGATGCTGCCTGTTCATATTTCTGTTCTCACTGCAGTGTTTGGAGCGAGCCGGTTTGACGAGGTTGCAGGTTTCACAGGAGACGCCCGGCTGAAACAGCCTCCTGTCATACGGATAGATGTGCAGCTGGCCGGCGATTTTCTTCTTCGTCACTGTGCCTGCAAGGTTGAGAGGAGAGAAAAATATAACTGCCAAATAAAAGGCAAAAAATCTCTCCAAAACGAACAAATTGATATCTCTGCACATTATTGCAAAACGGCTGAAAGTATCTACTTTGAATTAACTGGAGTCATCAAATAATAATTACCCATTAATACTTAATGTCCTGCACACCCTCAATCCACATGGCTGTATAACCAGTAGTAATATTGCTTTTTTTTTTAGACTAAATGATCGTTGTAGATGCAAACAACACAACATTTCTCATATGAAAAGACAGATGCTTTAGGTTGGTGCCAAGAACAAAACAGACACCAGAGTGGAAAGGGCACATTAGCCGGATCCGTTATTCCCAAGACTTGGACTCACATGAGGCCTGTTTTAGTGCACAATGATTGATGCTATGTAGACCACAAACTTATTGCTTATACGAGTTCTTAATATATCACACCTCAACACACCAGGGTTAACCTCCCTCGTCTGTCTCATATAATATTTCCTAATATTGCAGCAAATAACAAATTACTTTGAAAGCTAGTATAATAATAACCTGGATCTCTCCTGATGCAGAGGTAGAAGCAGAGACTCTTGATAACCAGCAGGATATAAGGCACGGACAGGCTGATCAGACTGGTGTCCATATCCCTGCAGAAGCCAAACACCTCGTAGGTGAACTCTGCTAACACAGCGGCCTCTATCAGGATGTGCAGATAGATGAACATGTTGTTCCTGCAAATAGAAGAACAGATATGCAGGAGTATAACTGGAACTAAATATACACTTGTCTATGATATTACAGAGGTATATAAGATTAAATAAAAAGCCTTTATTCATTCCACATTGGGGGCATGTACTATTCTACACAGAGCAGCTCAAGAGTCAAAGGATGAAAGGAAAATGAAAAGCTATATACATAATAAACACCTTTTGATTTATTCAGAGATGATCCATGCTGGATAAACATTGAGAAAATAAAATGTATCTATACTTTTCATAGACGCATTGTGTGTAGTATTGTACAGGGAAATACAAAAAGTGATATAAAGTTAAATACTAAATATATCTACGAAGGAATTGAACTACAAACCTTTGATGAAACAGCCTGTGTAAGGTCCTTTGTGAAAACTTCTGGAGCCATCTTGGTGTAATCGGTGCAAACACCTGTGCAGAGAATATTTGTCAGCTTTAATTGCAGTGAATATCATGTTTCAATATTGTTATAAATTAGTCAAACAGTGCCACACAGTGTCAGTTTATGGGAATACAGTCAACCTGCATCTTCTCTTACCTTTCCTACAAAGTTGAAGAGGATACTAAATGGAGTTTGCTGCTGGCCTGAGTATTTGCAAACTAACACTATACATGTCAGCACCACCGTGACGTAGACAGCGAACAGGGTGAGGAAATCCATCTCACCTGGGGGCTTCAGAGAGACGATACAACAGGCGTTACTGGTGCAAAGTCAACACGAACAGGTAGCACACTCACCAAAAAGTTGTGTTACTATTAAGTGTTTCTGCTTGTGTAAACACGACTTTAAACAAAATGATGTACCACTCCTAAAAACACCCACATGGACAAGTTGACGTTAGCATGCTAACCTAAATCATTACCGAACGTTAGCATAGATATTCCCACTTTCTTCACCTCTTAAAGTCCTTTACTCACCTTCTCCCTTCACCTTTTAGTCTTGGTCACACATAGCTGTCTGTAAGTGTTTTATCTCGCGATAACATAGCTTATTTTGTTAGCGCTATGGACACTAGCATCCCCTTTGGTGCTCTGTAAACAATGCTACTTCCTTAGCATCGATGTAGCTAAATCCCAAGCTAACGTTTGAGGGGCTGGCTGGGTTTACCTGCTGCAGGAGGAGGGGGATGTAACTCCATTTCGATATAAATGTAAAGTTTGTCTAAATATTAAAGGGCAGTGGTGGAATTTAACTACACTTACTCAAGTAAAAAATGAAGGTACTTGTACTTGAGTGATTATTTAAAAACGTTAAATCTTAAATGTGCCATTCTGCATAATGAGTAGTACTTTTGGTACTATGCTACTTTTTTACTTCTACTTAAGTACAATTTTAAATGCAATACTTTTACTTGTAACAGTATTTTTAGTCTTTGGTATTGCTACTTGTAGGCTACTTAAGTGAATAATAAGAAGAGTACTTCTTTCACCTGTGTTAAGGGTTTTCTTAATTCATATTCCTATGCTTACTTTAACCTCCTATTACTTTTTAAAGCTCACAAGTAATTTCTATAATTAATAGACAGTCATATTTTCATCTTATATGCCTTTTCCCTGAAGACTCTTATTTTTCGACACTTTAAAACTATAGCTATTACTTATTCACTATCTTAGCCACAAATGACAATGATTAGGAGAAGCATTGACTTTAATGCATGGATTTGCTACAAAGTTCAAACATGAAAAACAGGCTAAAGGTTATTTAATGCACACACTTCCTTCAGTTTTGACTTGAAATTCAACCCTTATGAATACCTTTATAACATTTTGGCTATAGTGCATGCTTGAATTCCCGACTATTAGTTACTTAGGCTTGTTTTTCTCTGTCATTGCCTTCCAGAGCTCCACACAATGCAACACGGCATCACAGGACACCTGTTGGGTCTGGTTGCTGACATGGCCCGACACTCATATTACAGCTCTCGGTGCCGGAGAGGAAAGCTTTACTCTGGAGCTCTACATCTATGGATGCTGTTTAAAAAGGTACAGGATGTGTTGGTGTGCCGTAGTGAGGTGTGGACAATATTATATGTTTCTTATGTTGATGTGTTTTTGGTCACAATGCATTTTTTCTAAATGCTTTCCACCTTAATTATGACGAATGAAGATGTATTTTATTTAAAGTCCCTTGTTTATAATATTTAAAAACATGACTAAAGGATAATCGATACATATTGTCATAAATTCATTTAGCAAGTACACACTTTAAAAGAAAAATGATCGTTTGACCTGCGAATTGGTGCAAGAAAAATCTATCTTGAATAAATAAAGTAATCCACACAATGAAAACTATAAAAGAAACATATTTTGGGCTCAAAATGACACTCATTAATTCCTTAAAAGCATCACGTTGGCTAAAACGTTGCTAACATTCTCATGTAAACAAACGCGCGTGCAAACCCATCAGGCTATATCAATGTCATGTTCATGTTTCAAACAATAATTGGACAATGTATATATGTTGAAAACCCTTCCCGATTTCTCTGAAGAATAATTTATTACAGGGGGTTTATCAGGGTTGATTGCCTGTGATATGTCAGGTTCTGTCTTGTCACACATGAGTAAACGTCTTCGCTGTAATGTAAGAGGAGTTTGATTGTAGCGAGCAGCATCTGTGTTGAATTATTCAGTTGAAGCCGGACTGTCTGTTCTTTATTGCACACTTTGCAACTAATGACAGTTTGAACTTCAATAACTTAGTCACTACTTTCTCTTCAGCTGTAATGACTTCTCATATAAATGTATTACTGACTGCAACATGTTACCTGCTCTTATTGACACACCCTCTACAAATAATATGTCATACAATTAGTGTATCTGAGATGTCCAATCAATCATAAATACAATAAAATACATAATAATATGTTTTTTCAAATATCCTGCACTATATACAGTAGTTTCTCATATTGAAGGGTGAAGCTAACAAATTACATTGACATCCTCTTATTGTAATTGACAAGCTTTTGTGTATTTTCACTATATGATTATTTTTTCTATTACATGTTGATTTTACAGCCACACGATTTTTTGAATTGTCTACAGCCTTTACCCGTTCTCTTTATTATTGGGTACTGTTATTGGTATTGGATTTTAGCCCTTGCAGACCATTAACATGCACAACAACCTATATAACACACTACAGGAAAGGCAAAACCCCAACAAGCATATTAGGGCCCCTTTAAAAAGATAGTTCTGATTGAAAGACTTTATCTGCACACTGTGTGAACTTTCCGTCACTTGTCATAAATGTCATATTCACAATGTGTGCTTCCACTTTAGTCAGTGTCTGCATTCTATATTTGAGGGGAGCATGTGTTCCTTCAGTATTAATGACAGGGGGGTGGAGGAGCACTGAAGATTCAGTTCATAATCCAACTAATCCCACAGGCTGAAGTCTTAAATTGCCCCTCCTCCTTCTCAATGGACGGCACATTTTCGTTGTGCTCACACACTGACGGACGCATTCCCAGGCATGCAGACGCTCCAATTAGTCCTCATCAGGCTGGGCTGCGTCGACTCAGAGTGATTCTGGGCCACGAGCGGTCCCTCGGAGAGCCACCTAGCCGAGAGAGCAGGAGGAGGAAAAAGACATGTTGGTGTATTTATAGAAAAATGAGGCCTCGCACAATACCCTGTTTGGGAGAGAGAATTATGAAGGAACCGAGGTGCCTGGGTGCACGTGTCCCAGTTTTCTGATTAACACTGTGCAGGCGGGCCGGCCCGAGGATGAATCAGGGAACAGGACTAACTCGTTGACACACTCGCACAGAGATTGCACTCGCAGCCCGTGCACACTCACCTTTTGCTTATGAGGACACTGCTGTGGTTTTCAGGGTGGAAGAATGGGGTATTGTTTTGAGTTTGTCACCCTTTCCGTTTGACTTGTCCTTGGGTTTTTTCTAAAGATATAACATTTGAGGAGACAGATTGGCTGCCAGCAGGCCGCCCGCTGTTTGACATTCAAGATGAAGAAGTTTTTGCAAAACAAAAAAGGCAGATACTCTATCCGACGGGGCTCTCGGTATCCATCTAAAGATTTCTGTAAGTCTTTTATCAGCTTTGTGTGATGATGGCTGTGGAGCAAAATTAGCTTCCAGCTGAGCCAAAGGGGTTTATATTGAATCATATTTAACAAAATCTGTAATCTGTAATTCTGTATTTGTCATATTAGATATGTTTTTGAGAACTGTCTATGTCTCATTTTGATATTTCAGAATGCCTAAAATATAAGCCAATTTGATGTTATTGATTCCACTTTTTACCTTTTGCCAGCTCTGAAATCCATGCTGTCAGTTGTGTGCTCTATTATATAATTGTCATTCAACAGGATTGACTTGCAGGGAGTTAAAAAAAAAAATGGAATTGCTGCAGGAACTTTTGTCTCTAAAGCTAATTAAGGTCACAATCCCTGCAATGACTTAATTTGATTGGCTGCTTTGGAGTTTGTGAACCAGGTCAGGGACCGCTGAGTGTGTCATGGTTCAGGGTAGAGGGTTACAGAGCCCGCACTCATGAGTACATCTTGAGATGCGAAAGACAGCAGGAGGGAGAAGAGACCGGGGACAAAAACGTAGTCACTTTGAATGCAAGCAAAGGATTATTTGATCAAAAAATGTCATTTGACTTGAATATTTTGGCCAAAGTGGGTAAGTGCTTGTGTTTGAATGTCTATGCGTGGGTTTTCTTCATTTCGTAGCTTTTGTCCGCAGTATAGCCAGTGCAAGACCCTTGGAAAGTCCTTGGATCATGAGTGGGGACTATTTTCCTTCTCCTATCTTACATATTTTCTCCCCCCCTTTAAGTCCTCAGCATGCCGTCGTCCAACCAGGGCTGGCCTGAGGAGTTTGGCTTCCTGCTGGGCGGCAATGGCCCCAGCTACATCCTGTCGGTGGAGGAGGGCAGCAGCGCTCACCTGGCCGGGTTGCAGGCGGGGGACCAGGTCCTGGAGATCGAGGGCCACAATGTGTCAACGCTGGGCCCCCAAGCTGTCGTGGCCATCGCCCAGACTCAGAAGAACATCCCTCCCAGCATCGGAGTGGTGTCCCGCATACAGCAGGTCTGACAGCTCCTGAATCTATCACAGCAATAATGCATAAGTAGGTTAATGCCTGTGGAGATTCCGCAATATGTGACGGCATCTAGATTGATCCAAAGTCTTTAGGGGTATGTTCCTAAAGGTGTTCTTCACCCGCAATATGATTAATTGTATGTCCGTCACTCGCTCTGTGTGACCTTGAATCCTTGAACCCCGCATGCCTCTATGGTGAACAAAACATTTGGAAAAGGTTTGACGAATTTAAGTACATTGTGGCCATATTTGACAACAGCAATACTATATAAAACATCCCTTTTCACACTGTCACCGAAATCGTGCAGGTTAATCCAATTATTATTTGTCTTATCGAATGCTCTGTATTTCCAAACGAAGTGCATATTTTCTAAAATCTTAACATTTAATACACTTCTGCACTAACAATCTCAGCTGCACGTTTCTTGTGAGAGTTTATAAATGCATGTGATATGATTTTGCTGCTTTTTAAATAAGGCCCCCCATTTACTTCAATACATCGAGACTTGTTCTTTTTTGGATTCATTATTTATCATAGTGGCATGTGGGACAAGCTAACGTTTTGTTCAAGATAACGGGGCAAATAATTATTCAATAAGGGTCTTTTGTTCCTTTAATTTCAATACATTTACACTTTTTTTCCCCCTGCGTCACAGATGGACATCATACCGGGTCCGGACGGTCGTTTTGGGTTCACCATCGTAGGAGACTGCCCCCTGCTGGTGGAGGACTGCTCGCCCTGCTCTCCGGCGGGCCGTGCAGGTCTGAAGGCGGGGGATTACGTCATGGAGGTGAACGGGATCCCCGTCCGGCAGCACGAGACGGCCGCGGCGCTGATCAAAGCCTCGCAGGGCCGGACGCTCCGCCTGGGGATTCTGTGTCTCGGCCCGTGGCAGAAACACAGCATCAGCATAGAGGACAGTCAGGTGGGAGGAGAGGGAGCGAGGCTGGACCGCAAACACAAAGCTCTGGAGTTCAACAGGAGGGTACGTTCAAACTCACAGTCACGGCTAACAGTGCAGGTTTTGAACTTTTGAAAGAACATCCATCTGTCTGCAACTTATATATATCAATATTCCAATTACTTGTATATAGACTATTCTGCACTATTTCTATTTTATTGTATTTACTTGCACTATTATCTGTTCTATTGTGTTGCACTGTTGGAGGAGCCTGTGACATAAGCATTTCATTGTCATCACTACACTGTAGCTATGTACATATGACAATAAAAGCCTTGAACCTTGAACAGTGCAGGTTAACTTATGTTTCTGTTCAAGTTGGGTTTGACTTTGTTCTTAATGTAATCAATTGGTTGAATGATACAACTATTGGAAATGATCCATTAGGGCTTACCTAGATTGAAGAGTACGTAGTCTTCTAACACTTATTCAATATTTTTCTACTGATGGATTAATCAACTATCTCAAAACCAGAATTATAAAATATCACTGCTATAAACCTTTTGTTACCCAGATTAATTGCATATTTAGTCATGAGACCTGAAAAATTCAGTTTTGAGACCAAGTGTTTCATTTCCACCATGTGTTTGCAAAAGTTACAGCAACACCTCAGATGTTTTCCTTAAATATGCTAAATACTATTACATTCAAAAAATGTATGTGTGTAATTTCATTCAATTCACTGGTGTAATCCTTTTACAAAATGTACACTGTGAGGAAATAAAAACAAACGGAGGAAGATGAAACTCTTAGAAGGAAGTAACAAATATTTAACTCAAACTAAAGAGCCCTTCTTAAGGCAATGTGTCTTTTTAATTGCAGATGAAGTGCTGTCACAGTACCAATCAGGCTTTGAGTTAAACTATGAGCTGACAGCCTCCCCCTCTAACGTCACTGTCCGTTCTGCGTCAGGTGGAACAGATTCTAGGTGATGAACCCGAAGTGAAAGAGAAGCTCTTCACGGCTCTGAAGCAGTACGCAGCGGAGAAGAGAGTGGAGTGGTTGGCCTCGGTGCTGCCAGACATCCTGAACACTGAAGAGCACCGACAGCTCATCTCCAACATCCGGTAAGGACAAAGCGTTTGAACTTCTATTACAATGGGTCACCAAACACAGGACAGAATAAACTGCTGGTAGAAAGTAGAGAGGTGACTTTAAAGAAGGCTGCTATCTGGATTCTAGCCAAGCGTCTTGAGTCTAGGCTTTGAGACGAGGGGAAAAGTGGCCTACTGGTAAACATAAAAAGAGATGCATCATTTGTGACCAGTGGCGACTGGCACAGCCCCACCTAGTGTCAGCAGAAAGTAATTAAAATAGTAATTTAAAAAATATAAAAAAATATATGTTAAAATCATGTTTAATCATCTGATTCGTCTGTACATTGCTGTTTTAGTCTGTGTTCTTCTAATTAGTGTCTACAGTGTGTGCCTATTGAGCCGTTTTGAGCGACGTGGGTCAAGCCCCGATCATGCCCCTCCCTCTCACTGTCTAAGTGAATGGGTGACTGTAAAAACTACACTGCTCAGTCTTTTTCTATTCAATGTGTTCGGCAACAAAATAATCACCATAGGGGCAAAGTGCTGACATACCTACCAAACGTCATCTCATAATTCAGAGAGCTGATTGGCTGTAAGTACGTGTGCCGCGAAAATAGTAGTTGTTTGTGAAGAGGTGACGAGAGAGAGCAGCGTATAGCGATTACAATCAGTAAAACGGAAAGAAAATGAATGAAGTTGACCATCTGCTTCAGCTTTGGTAAATTATTGTATGTCATATCTTTTGTTGATATTCTGTGTTATGCCTATAAGCTATTGCTCTGCTGGATCGATGGATATTGTGACCTCTGTGATGAGTGTCTGTGTTTTCCTTATAACCCCTCCCCCCCTCTCTCTATCGGAACCATAGCCTACAGCTATTTGTTTACGTGTTTAAAAAAGCACCAGAAGCTTATATATATACACACACACATCTAAGTTGTTTTGTTCATATAAAAACGCCACTGTTTGTGACTAAGACATCTGTTGTCTGAAAATGGCTTCTTCCATGTTATCACCACTGTCTTGGTCCCATGGTACAAATCATTTTGTGCTAATTTGTATTGGAGGGATTAATCATTTTTAATTTCTCTCATTTTCATTGTAAATGAGATGAAAGGCCCTTTGAAAATGAATATGCTCTAGTTGTAAGCTGGGATGTCTCAGCAGCTCCACAATACTTCCTTGAAGATGGTATTTAAAGCATACTGTATTAAACATTTAACACATTTTGTGTTTCCTGGGATTATTACACCAGTCCACATTGACATTTCGATACAAATCGATTAATTGTGCAGCCCTCACTCCCCATCTACTGTATCCCACACACACATCCCAAATGTGTCATATTTCAAGTAGTGAAAAGTTAAATAATCTGCAGGTTTTTTTTGTCATAATGACGGGTAAACAGGCTTTTCCCGGTGCTCGTCCTGCAGGATGGATTAGTCTCGACCGCTGCCAGCCGTTTCAGAGCTGCGCTTTAGGTTTAGGTGTGCCCCATCTGCCACTCCACAGTAAATCCACAGTGACCCCCTCCAAGTCGCTTAATCCGTGTTAGTGAAACTCGGACTTAACTGCCCGAGCTATGAGTTTTTGTGCCGTAAAGGAGTATTGGCAACGTGAGGCGAAACTCACAGCATGGAGGTGTGTGGAGGTGTGTGTGATGACGAGCCACAGACAGCTTTAGTCGAGTACTCGCTTCATGGAAACATAATGTAATACCGGTGGCTCTGTATCCACTGTCCCTGGAGAAACACACGACAGGTTTTGTGAGTTTCTGTGAAGTGGAAACGTGAAAAAGCACTCGGGGAGCCAGAGGATTTGTTTGCGCCAAAATCACCAGACGTTCTCTCAATCCCCAGACAGTTTGTCCACAGATTCCTCCACAAGTAGAGCCAATCAAAACCTTTTATTGTCTTACTACGCTGGCTCTCATCCACTACTACACCACTTTGTTCTATTTTTAGTGGCACTAATATACAGTATAAAGCCTTTCCAGCAGTATGAGGTCAGTGAGTGCTGTGGTTACCTGAAATGACAAATGAGGCGACAGGATTTCTGTGCGCTAAATTGGTCATGAATAATTCAAACACTGACAACTTTTTTTATATTTAAGGACACTCCTATTTGCTCGAGCATCAATAACAACATTATTATTATCTCTTTGTGTTTTTTTACGATTCCCCCACCCATCCCCGAACTCTTCTACCTCCCCTCCCTCTCTCTGTGTTTCTTCCGGATGGATTTTATTCTCATTATTCTGCTCACTCTCTGCGTGGCGGCCGTTTCCCCTGACACTTGGTAAAGTCCCAACTTTGATCCCCCTCAGAGAGCCAGCACTGAAGCAGTCTCATAGTGAAGCTGCTCACTATTTGACGGTGTAACTGAGTTTCTTTCTTTGAGCAATGGGTGACAGCTAACACGATGAATTGCCTGGGGTGAGTATTTACTCTTTCAATTGGACTCTTAGGTTTTAAGAAATGCATTTGTTTATTTTTTAGAGAATTTGTGCATTTTTTTTATTGGCTTCTTTGGGTCTACTGGTTTGGCCATCAGTGTAATTATGTATGTGAAGTGAAATCTGATGGCTGCTGCTGGTGTTTCTGCCTCCGAAATCCTCTATTCCCTCGTTGTTTTCCTGGCTTTCTTCAAGGCAATTTCGAGCCTTAAATCAGGAGTTTGTTCAGGCTGCTTGATATGATTGTGACCAACATTAAAATGGACACTGCCGGTTGTAACACAGTAAGTGATACAATGGCATGTGAGTGTATTTGCCTCTTTCGTGAGCAAAGTCATTAGCTTGAGTGATGCTCTGCTTTTAGGATTTAATCTCTCGCCACATGTGTGCGTGCGTGAGTGTGTGTGTGTGTGTGCATGCGTGTGTCTGTGTGTGCCTATGTGAGTGTATGTGTGTGCCTGTGTGTGTGTGTGTGTGTGTATATGTGAGTGTGTCTGTGTGTGCCTGTGTGTGTGTGTGTGCGCCTGTGTGTGTGTGTGCCTGTGAGTGTGCCTGTGTGTGTGTGTGTGTGTGTATATGTGAGTGTGTCTGTGTGTGCCTGTGTGTGTGTGTGTGCGCCTGTGTGTGTGTGTGCCTGTGAGTGTGCCTGTGTGTGCCTATGTGTGTGCCTGTGAGTGTGCCTGTGTGTGTGCCTGTGTGCTTGTGTGTGTCTGTGTGTGCCTATGTGAGTGTATGTGTGTGCCTGTGTGTGTGTATATGTGAGTGTGTCTGTGTGTGCCTGTGTGTGTGTGTGTGTGTGTGTGTGTGTGTGCGCCTGTGTGTGTGTGTGCCTGTGAGTGTGCCTGTGTGTGCCTATGTGTGTGCCTGAGTGTGCCTGTGTGTGTGCCTGTGTGTGTGTGTGCCTGTGAGTGTGCCTGTGTGTGCCTGTGTGTGTCTGTGTGTGTGTCTGTGTGTTTGCTTGCTTATGAGCTAAATGTTGCTCCCCTTTTAAACTGAGTACTGGTTGTGTGTGTCTTCTCATTAACTCAAGACCCACCGTTTTATTTGGATTTTATCTGAATTGTATTTATTCACATTTGATTCCATTTGATTAGAATGTTTTGTATTATTTCCTTCCTGTTTTATTCAGTGCTGCGTTGGGATTATGTGTTTGGTTTGTGAAGCCCTTTGAGTTACCTTTGTCTGTGAATACGTTTGATGTGATTTGACATCGCTGACACTATGGTCATTGGGATATGTTTCAAAGCAAGTGCACTTATTTAATCATGCAAACATCGACTTACCTCTTCATTACTTCATTGACATTCATGCATTATAAAAGAAAGGAGTGATTAGAGGGTGATCATGGTGCGTCTAAATGATCCACATATCTGCTTCTCTCAGCTCCTTTGTCTTGACCCCACAGTGCATGTTGTGCACAACGCTTTCCGTTCCAATGGTGCTGATAATGATGGTGTTTAATCTTAACTGCAGGAGTCAGTGGAGCTCGTTCTGCAACTACTGCTGAGATGCTACACTTAAAAACACAATCATGGCCCACAAGAGCCTCCCAAACTGCTTTTAATATGAGCACAAGCCGTACTAAAGCCAGTACATTCATAATTTAGACTGGAATAAGTTGGTTTTTTATTGTTGCTGGTGGATTTATTATCTGTGCTTTATGTGAGCTGCTTGTTCGTGATGAAGGAAGAATAAAAAACAGATAGCTTTTCATCTACATGGCTCTAAGGATGCTTATGCCGGATGGTATATCTTTACTAATACTTCATGTATAACATACAATCATGTTCACATAGACAGTATATATTACCATGTAGTCAAGATTCTAGGGGATGATTTCTAGTGACTCTGGTTGATCCTTAAAAAGAAGTGGATGTAGTCACTGTGACGTCACCCATTGGTTTTCTAGACTACCGTTTTGAATCCTCAAGTTTGGCATTATGGCCGTCGCCATCTTGGTTTTATCTTATCCAGAAGTGACCATATTTAGACGAGAGGGTTGAGCTGGGGAAGAGCAATGCAGTGCGGGGCTAGCTTGATGAGCAAGGTGCCTTATTTTAAATACTTTATTGAAGGTATTTGCATTCCAGTTATCCGTCTCTTCACTTAAAAAAATTATAAAATAAAAGACTTAAACAAGAATTAAAAAAACTAAAAATTAATTAACTCTAATTCACATAAATAAATCTTGACGCTAATATTTACCAGCAAAAACATGCTTGGAGCTTTTTTGATACAAAAAAATGCTGACGAATGTTGTTGTAGCGACTTGTCAATCACAAGGCAGCAAAGTATACTCAATGCTTAATCATCTAAGTAAATGACACCAAAGCAAATTCCTCGTGTGTGTAAACATATTGGTAATCAAACCGATTCTGATTGTGATACATTGTGCCCTTAATCGACAAAATGGACATCAGGCTGTTTTAAAGAAGACCCATAATTGGCGATTTAATCCATAAACCTGTCAGGAACATGTTTACAGAGTTAATAAATGAAGTGAGAAGATGGGTGATTTTCTTATAGACTTCTATTCAATCTAGCTCCTTTTTGTCACCAGTATATAGTAGACGGG